AAGATCAAGCAGAACAAAAATGAAAACTGTCAAAGAAAAATTGTGGAAACTTAACCATTTGGTTCTGCTGTCTGAGTTTTGGAACCCTTCCACTTGTATAAACAGCTACAACGGAACGCAATGAACAGATGTCAAAAGGGAACTTAAAAAATTACAAGTGAACCATAAATTAGACAAGAACTGGTCATCAATTGGACCTTGTTTAAAGTTGAGGAGTGCTTCGTCTTTCACTCTCTATAACAGTATTTTTCTACTTTACTTAATTTATCATCTTTTACATTTGCTAGCATTACTCTCATGTCGTTTTGATCATGTAGCAAATGGAGCAGTGCAAGCATTGTAAGGAACGTAGAGGGAAGTGGAGAAATAAGAGAATATAATGCAAAGGCATCAGCTAAGTGAGGGAATTCATATAAATGTGCAGAGTTCATTTCAGTACAATTACTTTAATCAGTTTTTCCCTAAAGCATCCTGATTATTGGGGAAGAAAGAGTAAGCGAGTTTAAATTTAAGGAGGTATTTTTAGTAATCTAAATGTTTGGTTCAAAATTCCATCAAAACATACATACAGTGAGACTAAACTTCTTACGCAATTGTTAAGGATAAAAATCTCATCAAGAGGAAGTGTAATTGTTTGGAGTTTTTATTGAAGAAAATAACACTAGTGAGACTAAATGTTGTCCAAAACAATGTCATGTGTGAAGAATAATTTATATGATCATTTCTTGACATTGATCCTGTGATAAAAAGAAAGGACCCACTATACCCAAAACCATTATTTTTGAAAGTGATATGAACAAAATCAAGATCAAACTGAACCAAAGTGAAAATTGTGTCGAAGAAATTTAATACTTTGTGAAACAAAATGGAGAAGACCTTTAGTGTAGGGAGAAGATTAAAGAAAGATACCAGTTTGACGAATTTTAACAAAAAGTCAGGCTGGAGCAGCCGAATTCAACACTGAGCCTGTGAAACACGATCAAGTTAAAGATATGGAAGACCATTGACTTGTTGCCATATTAACCAACTTTGGAAAACTTGTCCTCTGGAAGCATCCTATTAAAGTTATTGAGAATGCAACAAAGAAAAGAAGACCGACCCTTGATTGCAATTATAAGCCAGAGCTCCTTAAGTCAAAAATTAATATATATATATATATATATATGTTAGCATGATTTCCATGTAATTTATCTCATTTTTATAATTTGATTAAAGTGTACCATTCTGTCAACTAAAACATGTCGATAAGAGTAAGGGCATCAAGTTTGCTGAATTCAGATTTCAGTCTTATTTCTGTTGCAGCTAGCCTGTTCTTCATTCCTTGCAAACTAGATGGTGGAATAAAAACAAGCAAAACACAAAATGAGACAATAAAACACACATAAAGCATAATTTAGCACACAAAAAGGGAAATAAAAAGGTGGTCTTGAGGACTGTAGTAGCTAAGAAAGCCTGGAATTTTAGTCTTTTTTTCCTGAGATAACAAAACTTACCTTGGAATTTAACTTCACAAGAAAACGTCAAGTCCTTGAATTCTGAAGAAGCACCTGAAAAGCAAAGCAGAGGTGACTTGTCTGTTATTTTCAATGAAGTACGTAGTTCACTTGAACAAAGATGACAAAGTTATAAACAAACTTAAAACATACCCTCTTCCTTGGGCTCCAGGGTAACAAGTTGAACGTCCTTGCAATCTGGTAGCATTAACTGTTGCCACCAAACAAAGTACTGCCTTCAAGTTACCGAGGCAGATCTTCATGCAGTCAAAGTCAAACAACAAGAAGCAAGCATGTTTCCATCGATGGTCCAAGTTTAAAGCCATAACTCCCAGAAAGCCAAAAGCCATCATTCCAAGTTCCATACCGGGTTTAAATTCATTCCAAAATTCATCTTCATCATCTTGATTGTACTGGAACCACCATCTGTAGGTCTTTCATCACTGGAGCATGTTGGTGTTAGAGGAGGCCCACAGAGTGCAGAATTACCCAAAAAAAGAAAAAAAGAAAAAAAAAAAAGAGCAGAAGCAGTGAAGCTCTGCAATTAGGTGCTTGATGGAATTTTCCCAAAAGAATTATTATATGACAGCTCCAAGGCACAGAGAAAATGTAGCTTGGGCACAGAGAAAATGTAGCTTGGACACAGTTGAAGGAAGCCCAGCTGAATCAAGAGGCCATAAATCTGAGGTTGAATCTCTAAATCCTTCTCTATGGCCTTTTATGCAGAAACATCTAAATTGTTACAACTGCAACATACAGATTAGATTGTGAAAATTTTAGTTAAAATTTGTACAAATATTAAATTGTGAATTCATTTTAAAAGAAAAAAAAGGAAAAATGACTGTTAAAATGAAAATTGAAGTTAAGCCAATAGAATTCAGATGGTAATGCTATCTCAGTTTCATAGCAAGAAGCTGCAGTTAGCTCCTTGCAATAGAAGATGCAAACCACACACACAAACATACATTGATTTATTACACAGAGAAATAAAGAAAGAGATAACCCTCAACTCAGGTTTGATTTGTTATTTGTTATTACTTACACCAGCAAGACAGAATGTAGAAGTTGAGTCCTTGAAGTGTGAAGCAACATATTGAAACTGAAGTGATGCACTTGAACAAGAAGATAGCATAAACAAACATAACCATACCCACTTTTCCAGGCTCAAGGGAAAGGAGTGACTTTGGCTCTTAAGACTTCAACTTTCTTTGCAATCTGGCTGCATTCACCGCACCAGCAAACAAAGTGATGATCCAATTTTTAAGAAAGAACTCCAAGAGAGCCAAAGGCCTGTACAAGTTCCATACTGTGTTAAAACCCTTTCCAGAATTAATCTAGGTCATGACTCATCATGATTTTCTTTGCCACCACCATCTGTGTGTTTTTCATCCCCTGACATCTTGGTTTTGGAGGGCACTTATATAGGGCAGAATTACCATCAAATGCAGAAGCATAAAAGATATATAAAGATAAAAAGGGAAATGAATTACTGTTAAAGCATTGGTGTATTGCCTTGCCTGCTCTCTCTTAAGAACAGAAGTTAGACAGAAATAAATGAATCAACATTCTCTTCTTTCATGAATGAATTACGTCGTTAGGCTAAAGCAAACATCAAATTAGGATTAGAAGACTAATGCATCCATTTATAGATGTTGTTTGCAGGAAGCATTGATTTCATGCAAAGTTGTCAAAACCCATCGAAAATCCTCTAAGAAAACAATTAAACTTCGGTTATAAACAGCAACCCCTTAAATCAAAAACCTAACGGAAAAAATATATATGGAATTGCACAAACAAAATCAAAGCCCATTTTATAGTACAGTAACTTGCACTTGTTAATGGCATGACTGCTACACCATGCACCAAAAATGGTTGCCATTCGCAAAAGAAATGGAAGACAAAAAAAAAAAAAAGCATGGCAGCCACTGGATTATCCACTTTAAAGCATGGCAGCTACTGGATTATCCACTTTAGTAATTAGATTCTCTAAAGATTAAAGGAACAGGCAAATAATTCATTATTGTTTTCTAATTTCACAATTCACTTGAAGTGATTTGCTTGCATTGTTGTTTCTATTGAAATATTAAACTCAAAAGAAACAGAAGCTACACATACCCAATACACAGACAAAACAAGAGCTTACCTTTGATGCAAACCCCGCAGCCATTTTAACTCAAAAACCCGAAGATGAGTTGAAGAGCCACGAGTTTATTCAAATTATTCACAGAAAACAGAACCGACCATCTATCTAGTTTAGTGATATGCGATTGGAATTTTTGGGATGAAGAAACAGGGGAAATGAGAACTAGAAATTACCTGCTTCATTGGCGACGCGAATCTCCAGCCTACATCTCGTGAGCATTCCCAGAAATTTTGTGAAGAAATACGAAAAGGCTCATTTGGGCAGAGGAACAGAGAAAGTGGGTGAGGGTTGCCTGGATGTTTTTAATCCCACCCTACATCTCTTGACCATTTGATTAATTAAAGATAATATTTTAAAATTAACATAACTATAAATTAGGGTTTACACTTTACACACACTGACTTTCTGAGTTTCTGTTTCTCACCAGATTACAGACGTGGTTAAATTACAGAATACAAATCCATATTGCATACCAGTTTCAAGCAAATTATTACAAAATAAATAATAGAGAAAAAAGCGTCAATCATTTCATTTAAACAGACCTTACAACCAGACATACTTATAAATAAAGGAAGAAACAATGCCCTGCTCGGCTTGGACTTATTGATGCGGAAAGAGGAGAAGACATCCTGGAAGTTCACTTTGCAACATGAAACATCTTGAACCTGAAAAACAACAAATAAGAGGTTATTTGCTCTGTTATTTTTTTTTCCCTTTTATAATCAAGTTATGAAGATGCCATACAAGATTAGAATAAATGTGTACATGTATCGACCTTTACCCGCTTCTAGGAAGAGACTGATACCCGAACAACTTCAACTTTCTTCCCAATCTGGATACATGCTCTCTCACCAGCAAACCAACTGCTGCTACAAGTAAATAGAGGCAGTCCTTCAAGTTGCCGAGGCTGTGCTTCACGTTGTTGAACAACAGGAAACAGAGATGTTTCCATGAATGATCTAACTTCACAGCCAGAACTCCCACAAAGCCGATAGCCGCTCCAAGTTCCATACCCGCTTCAAACCATTTCCAGAATTCAGCTATGTCTCTGTTTTTTGTTTTGCTCTCTGATTTTTCATCTTCCGGGCAAGTTGGTGTTAAAGGAAGCCCACAGAGTGCAGGATTACCGACAAATGATGAAGCATCAAATGTCTGTATTTGGGTTCCCGACGGGATTCTCCCAGAAAAGTTGTTATATGACAGGTTCAAGACGCCGAGAAAATATAATTGGGACAAGCTCCAAGGAAGCTGACCTGAAAGCTGGTTCCATGACAAGTCAAGTGATTCTAACTGGCTCATCTGCCCAATGTTTGAAGGAATACATCCCGTCAACCGATTTCTTGATAAGTTCAATTGAACCAGTTCCGAGAGAACAGATACCTGGACTGGAATCTTTCCTGTTAATTTGTTGCTTGAAAGATCAATAATCTTTAGAGTCTTGAGATTTCCATTGTCATAATCACGCTCCATTCCTTTCCACATTACAGATGCTTTGTCGACCTAGTGTCCTACGTAAAAGCCGTTACTATCATCATATGAATCTGCAAAAGAATAATCAATGGCTGAACTCTCCTTTTGGGCTAATGTGGTCAGATTCTGGATGCACGATGGTATGTTTCCAGATAGATTGTTGTTGGAGAGGTCTAGCAGCGTCATTTTTTTCAACCAGCATAGCTTCAAGGGGATGTCTCCACTGAAATGATTGGACCTCAGGAGAAGGAAAATTAGTGAACTTAGCCTTTCTCCAATCCAAGTTGGTATTTTTCCAAAGAAGCTATTATTATTTAAGTTCAAAAATTGCAAGGCACTGCAATTTCCTAGAGACAAAGGTATTTCTCCAGAGAAATTGTTGTTTTGCAAACCCAACGATTCAAGACGATGCAAATATCCAATAGAGCTTGGAATTTTCCCAAATAAATGATTATTGGCCAAATTCAGAATCGCTAAACTTGTCCATTGCATCATGCAATCAGGAAGCTTTCCAGATAGTTGATTGTGCGAAACATCAAGGATCTCAAGTTTCCCACCAGTTATGGTGCAGAGAGAAGAAATTGACCCAAAGAACCTATTTTCTGATAAGTGTATGGATGTGACATTAACAGGGAATACTGGTAATAGACCCTCCAACTTATTTTTACTCAAATCTATCCCAGGGCCAAAAGAATCAGCGAATTTTGTAGTTGACAAATTTGGCAAAACTCCATAGAGTTGATTGGAAGAAAGATTGACATGAAATGCTTTAGAAGATAGGTTCCAAAACCACTCTCGGATGCTATCTGAAATCTCACTTCCAGAGATATCAAGATAAGAAAAGTGTCTTTGGGTCTTTAACCATCTTGGGAACTTTGGGCCCAACTTGCACGACACAAGTTCTATTACATCCAACTGGAATGGAGGAATCCAGTCATTGCTAAAGTTGATGCTCAAAGAATTAGAAGACATGCCCAACTCCCGCAACTTAGATAGTGTTGAAAAGTGTGATTCACTGATAGTCCCATTCAAATGGTTGGAAGAAATATATATGCCCTCAAGGTTTGATAAGAGCCCAATACTTTTGGGCACAGTACCACTTAGTTGAGTGTGGTAAAGATACAAAATTCGCAATGATGAGAATTTTTTTATCATATCAGGCAAAAGGGTCCCTTGATTATATTACCACCCAAATACAATTCTTCCAAGGAGAGTTGTAGGCATCCAGATAAGTTACCAATGATTTCAGGAAGCAACCCGTTAAGATTGTTATAAGTTACGTCTAGGGAAAGTAAGTTGCACAAATCCCCAAAGGATTTTGGAATCCCTCCTTCAAATTGGTTTTGGAGGAGATTTAGCTTTTTAAGATAAGTCATGTGACCGAGATTTTCTGGAATCAAACCCTGAAACTGATTGTCAGACAAGTCAAGATAAACAAGGCTCTTGCTGAAGTTGAACAACCAGTGGAATGTGGAGGAATTCAAATTGTTTACCCTTAAATCAATGTCAGTGAGAAAAGTAGACGTATTAATCATGGGGATGGACTGAGGAATGACATCTCGAAGATTACAATAACTTAGAGATAGGTAAGTTAGATGAGGGAGTTTATTAATCACCTGCAGCCAGTTACTTACCTTTCCTAGGTCGTTTCCACTCAAATCAATGTATTTCAAAGAAGAAAGATAAGAAAGCCATTCAAGATTTTTGACAGTATTGAAGTTATTAAAGCCAAGATCAAGATATTGCAAACTTGTGAGGTTTGCAAGCTGGCTAGGAAGAGGTCCACTTAAATTACAATAACTAAGATCAAGATGTTGTATTTTGTTGGGCGAGTTGATGGACTTCGGAATGAGGCTAAAGTTGAAATCAATTTCAGTGAGGCCTAAATAAGTTAAATGGTACAACTCAAACAGAGAAGGACTTAGGTTACCTCTCAAGCCAAGATAATAACCATGATCATCATGCATTGTAGTTAGATCAAGCACAATGATGTGCCCAGTTGTGTTGCTACATTGAACTCCTTCCCATTTGCAACAATCCTTTCTCTCTTGTTCACTGCCCCATGAGGAAAGCCAGCCATATTCGTCAACCAGACCTTGCTTAAATGCCAAAAGCGCTTGTCTTTCGCTCTCTATGCACCTAACTTCATCACCAGCAGTTGTTGAACTGATTCCAATGGAAGATTGCACATGAAGTAAAACCAGGAATGCATAGACATGTTGAAGAGACCCTCCACCCAGAATCTTCATTTTGAAATTGATGAGATTAAAATCAAAGATGAAGGCAAACCAAAATGAAGAGTGTGTCAGGGAAATATGGTAAACAAGTAATTGAGGAACGTCAGAAATTAGATGATAAGAGCAGGTATTTTGCTAGCTGCATTTTGGACCCTGTGGTTGCAGAGAAATGAAAAATATTCAGAAATGGAGTATGGCATGAAAGCAGTAAAAAGGTAATATACTTGATGGGTTCTCAAAACCATTCTAGCTACTTATATATAGCTTCAAGAAAACACATTTAAGGTCGTAGAAGGGCACATCAAAGAATATTAATTTACTTAGAGAAGATTCAAGGAAGATTCCAGTAGGCAACATGATTTACGTGAAATGATTTTGAAATCTTGGGTAAATTATTTGTAATATGCTTCAACACGCCCTACAATTTTAAGTTTTTTACTCCAAATGTTTAGCATAAATAAAATTCTAAAGCTCTTAATTTACTATAGGTTGATTTTAAAATCCTTACATAAATCTCTCGTAAATTTCATTTTATATCACAACCTATTAATTTATTTTTCAATCTACTCTTAAACTTAATAAACACAATCTCCACTGATGTCATAACACCATCTTAAGCAGAATTGTTAAGGGGAAGGGCAATCATAATAAATGTTTTGGCTTCCCACAACCCTTGTCTAATTTCTAATTATAAAGTTTTGGAAACTAAATCTCCCTCTAAATACTAATAAAACATTTGATATAATAGCAATTAAGTTTCAACAACTTTGTACAATTTTACAGCAACCAACTCTGTACAACAAAAAGTCACCACCACCCAAACAGACCATAAGAACGTTGCCCAAAATAATGTCGTTGTGAAGAATAATTAACGTGATCTTTTACTTGACATTTTATGATAATTAATTAGAAGGACCCTATACCCAAAACCGTCATTTTAAAAATTGATAAGAACAAAATGAAGATGAAGCTCAACCAAACTGGAGACTGTGCTAAGGAAATTTAATCTTTTGTGGTTGTGTCTACTCAATTCTCAAAATCATTCTGTTCTACTTACCTATAACTGTAGGGAACATCAAACAAATAAAGATTTTTCTAACATATGCCTTTAATTACAAATTAAAAGTATATTTATCATATTTTTTTATCATTAATTTATATATATATATAAAGTTAACTTTAACTTTGTCAACCATTTAATCAAAATACACCATGTGACATTAGTATTGAAAATAAAATTTATTTTTATAATTTTTTATATAAAGTAAAAGTAAAAAGATACAATGTATTCTAAGAGCATGTGCTAGAAAATTCCAGGAAATAATAAGGATAAGTCATTAATTTAGACTAGGTAGGGTGAATATTGAAGGAAGCTACCGGTTTTACGAATTTAAAATAAAAATAA